CATTTTCATGCGCTGAAAAGTCCAGATATGGGTTCCTCATGGCAAGGAGGCCACAAAAAGGCGAAAAACTGGAAAACGAAAATTTTTTGGTACTCTGCCTTCAAGGGAGTTGAGAAAGAACATAAGCTAAAATTAGGGTCTGATAAAACTGAGATGGGCTTTTTGTAAATATCACGTCAGAAAATCATAGAAGCCCATACAAACATTGCCGCAGACCAGAATCTAGAAACAAATGCTGTTTAAAAAGAACTCTAAGCTCTATCTGCTTATTTGATCATAGTAAAGGAGGGATACTCTTGAAGATATAATAACGCTTGCTTGTGACTTATGATGAAGCGTCTTACCAGAGCATCAGTTTGGAAACTAATTCTTTGTTTTCGCACCTAACTTACCCTGAATGGATCCTTGAGGGTCACATCATGTAAGAAGGGCCATGTCCGTTGACTTTTTGCGTCACCCTGATGAGCACTACAAAAAACGGACGGGGCGTCTTTATGGCTGTGCTTCGCTGCAGCCCTTCAGAATGAAAGTGTACCGCTTTGCCAACTGCGAGCTCACTCGAGTGCTTCTTTGCGAAATCAGGGACTCAAAGGGGGCTATTACGCATCGCCGACCATCGTACATTTGTGCGTTTCGAATACGTTTGCTGAATCCATTTTCAAGTCAATTGTGGCTGTTGCGTAACCATTTTTTGAATAAAAAATAGTAAAGTAGTAGTTCAATGTCTAGATCGCGGACGCTAGCTTTGTCAACCTAAGGTTAGAAGCGCACGACTTTTGCAAAAAGTTTGCTATTTTGCTACATTGAACTGAGCTTCCGGATTCACCTATCTTTGTAGTCTGGCGCATAATCGCGCCTATTTCTTAGATTTGCGCCTACGGTACTGCACGTATATGACGAGCACATTTACGGCAATACATATTACACGAAATGACCTTGTAAGTGCGTGTAGATTTGTATATATCGTATTTGAATTCATCACTGTGGACGTGTACTTCCGAGAGCCAGTAGTTGTAATAGTCAAGTGCACCCAAATATATCGTGAAAGTCGATTTGGTGTATGACGCTAAAAATATAATGTGGAACGTGTAAAATTTGCTTTCAAGACCTCATATTACAAACTTACAGTAACATTCGGCATCTCTGATCTTGATGTGGACATGCGGCTGATATGAAAATTCGTAATCTCTTGTGAGTTCAATGTTGCCTGGGATCCTCCATTTAACCAGTGCTTAAAAGATACAAGGTGAAACCGAACGTAGATCTATACGCAAATGCTGGAGTGAAACGTACGCTTTCTGTTATCCTCCTTGTCCTCCTTGGAAACGTTTGTGCTTTGTGAATCCACTGGATCGTCGCCATATTCTGCTTCATGATCGTGGTCGTCCTTGTACTCGTCCTCCTCTGATCTCATATCAGCGCAGATGGACAACGTTAATACAGTGATAATCGCTGTTGGAACATCACACGCCGCTATATTGACCATGGTTCGATATGAATAAATTACACTTTGGGAGTATTCTTCTTGCTGATGATATTGTGATAAGAGATATCAAGAACACTATCACTATATTTTTTAGTTCTAGACTGACAAAAAAGCATGTTTAGTCAAAGTGGCCATCCAGTAGGATGGACACCGTCGCAGTGGGGTTAGCAAAGAGATGGACAGGGTGTCCCAAAAGTATGTATACACTGTTTGATCGCT